AAATTAGAAACTACCATGTAAAGAATGCAAATGTATCATAGATTAATTCAGTCGTAATTCAGGTGTGAGTTGGGGAACAACTCCCGCTTCATCGCCATTATTTTATAAGGATGGCCAGGCTTGTGTTTGTTGCCAAGATTTCGAAAGAATTGCGTCTCACTCGCAGCAATTGAGTGTATTACTTCAAAAAATGCTCCCTTCTCATTTAAACGGACCCATATGAAACTCATAAAGTAGTAAAGTAAATGGACCAAAGTCTATACCTAAAGATTATCATCATATGCTTTCAAAAAGTTCGTTATCACAAATCGGTTTTTCAGAATTTGAAATATAACGTATTTATATTTTGTTTATATTTTTTAGATGCATTATAGTGTAGTAGTACAACATTATGTCACAAAAATCTTGCATAGAACTTAATGAGATACGTAAATTGGACGAAATTCTACGTCAGTGTGAGATTTACGTATCGAAGAACAAACAGACTCCTCTACTAGAGACACGTAAAAAGAAATTTGCTCATCAGATCTTAACCTCTACCAAGCTGCAAAAATTTGTGGAACGTGAACTTTTCTCGCTTATGTGCACCGCCAACAAAATGAATAAGAAAAGTATATTTGTTTCCGACATTCTAATGAACTCCAATTTGTTGTCCTACAAAGATGAAAATGGCAAATATTTTTTACGCAACAATTTCCAAAAGACCCCGAATAACTTTCGTATGTACCATAAAATAGTACGTTCGAATATTGAGGATGACGAGGATGAGTTCATGTATCGTAAGTGTGCTAAAAAGGAAATTTCACAGAATTGTTTGGAAAACATTAAAAACTGTTTGCATGAGAATCTAAAGCAGGGCAAGAAATATGGCTCGAACACCTATGAAGCCATACAGCATAAACGGAAACAACAACTTAGCAAGCAACAACAAGAACAGGAACATGAACAACAGCAGCTGCAGAGGGCACAGCAACAACAACAGCAACAATTGCCTTCACAAGTCCAACATGCCCATTCGCATTTAACGTCATTGGAAAACTGTACGATGAAAACAATGAGACAACCTATGGAAACAGTGGTCGGTGTAGGACCCGGTATATCCTGTGATAAATGTGAAAAACAACGCCATAAAGCGGTACTTATACAGACCGGTTCCGATAACATCAGTGAAAAGAGTCGCAAGTTCAATAAAACAGAGGCTCCTTATGCCAGCAAAGATCATGGTTTTTCGAAATCTATAGCGCAAAGCAGCTGCCAGACTACGCCTGAGGAAAAACGAAAAAATCTCAACAACAACAGCAATAGTCGCTATAAATTCTCCTCGCAAATATTTGGCCGCAAACTATCGTCAAAACATGTCAGCGAACATGGTGAGGACACATTAGATAAGGAGGCTTTATTAAGTCCAAAAATTGAGATTAAATTTCCAGATCCTGTTGAGACGGTGAGTTGATAATTTGCATAACTTCAATTCCATTCACTAATTCATCTGCATTTTTCAGGTTTTGTCGCTGGGGGCAAATGTTTTGCCCGAACATAAAAATATGACCGCTAAGACACATCGTTGGACTATTTTACATTATTCCCCATTCAAGGCTGTCTGGGATTGGATCATTTTGATTTTGGTTATGTATACGGCAATATTTACACCATACGTAGCTGCATTTTTATTGGGTGAACAAGATTATCAGAGACGTACCAATAAGTATATTAACAGTGATCCTATAGTTATTGTGGATCTTATAGGTAATTGGAACAAAGTGCAATGAATATCAATTCAAATTCAATTCGAAACAAAACAGACAAAATTAAAACATTTCAATTAAATATAACAAAAAAGAAAACAAACTATATCAGCAAATAATAGCTACTTGAAAAATACGCTTGAAATAATGAAATTTGCAAGAAACTATATATATTTTTGGATAATGCCAATATTAAGGAAAATTGATGATAATTTTCTCACGTTCGAAAAAAATTTATGAAAATTTCATAAAATTATGATTTTTCTCAAATTCTGTGGGGTTTTGAACAAAACATGTTATTACTAAGCGGGACGCATTTCAAATTTCAATCAATATATCATTGGAAACGGGGCAAATAATATTTATATTAAGTCGTCAGTTGTGTGTAAAATGTGGGTAAAATTTCTCTTCCTACAGATCTTTTATTTTTTGCGATCGGTCTAATTAATATATATAAAGAAATGTAGCTTATAGATATAATTCTATTATTACTATTAATGTGTTTTGTCGAAAGACCATAGAATGCAGAGATGGGAGAATTTCTTTCGAGTTGATGATAATGCTACGAACATAAAAAATATCGTTGCTAAACACGATCATTTTAAAATTACAAAGTTCTAAATACGTGAGAAAAATTCTTAAAATAAATTGGCGAAAGAAAGCAATTTCAAACTGGCATTCCATACTGATATATTTTATGTAAAATATATAAATGGAAAAGTTTTGGTTGGATAAGGATTTGGAGAATACTGCAAATACATACGAAAAGAAACATCGAAAGTAAAATTTCTATGAAAATATGCGATGAAATTGGTGAAACCAAAATTATTATTTACTTCAAAATTAAGCACAAAAATGAAACTAAAATTGGAAACGGAATGAAAACAAAAACAAAATGTTAAAGGTGTATGTGTGTGTGTGTGATTTTCTATCATGTCAAATGATCACTTTCCCGCGGTGGACTTCGTATTGAGAATAATGATGGAACGAGTTAGTCTATTTTTGTGAAATGATGTGGTCCCCCTGAATATTTAGTTTCCTTTTTCCAAAAAAAAAAAAAAATCACTTCCATCAAAACATACACAATTTAGACTAATTTTGTGCAATATGTTTTTCTTTATCTAAACTGACAAATTTTTGCCTATTCTTCTGATCCTTAAAATCCATACATATACTTTATGGGGTCTCTGATACCTAATTCAAAATATTTTTTAAAAATAACCACGTTATTGATTGTCAAAACAAAATGCCACCATACACACCTAAAAACCGAGTAGAATGAATGTCAAGACATTCTTCGTACCTCAATGAGGTAGTGTAATCGAGTGGTAATTTCTTTTGACAATTAAGGCGGCTTGAACGCGCTCATTATACAAAAGCTGTACGCCGAGGTAAGAGAGTACTTATAATAGAATTCAAATTCAAATTCAAATTAAAAACGCTACTTAACTGCATACTTAATTGCCTAAAAGAACTTGGTAAATAATTAAAAACTTAAAAACACCACTGCTGAAATTATTTTTATCTTATACTTAAGTACTTAATATGATTTTACTTTTTTTATTTTTTTTTTGAAAGTACACAAATTATAATTGTCGTTGTTGTACTTGTACATTCCTCACCCTAAAAATAAATTTGATAAAGTACTTTTGATCATGAAAAGTTTCCCGGCTAATATTTCCGTTAAAATTACCTTTCCGTTTTTGTAGTTGATGTCACATTTATTGTTGATATATTAATAAATTTCCGTACTACTTTGTTAATGGGCAAGATGAAGTCGTTTCGCATCCGGGTCGCATAGCAGTCCACTACTTAAGTGGTTGGTTCTTAATCGATTTAGTTGCGGCCATACCATTTGACTTACTCTTGGTAGGCAGTGATACGGACGAGGTAAGTTTGAAAAGTTTACTAAACATTAAACATTTTAATTTTATATTTTTGTTTTTTTTTATATTTAGTAACTACAGTATAAAAAACAAAAGCATAGTAATGTTATTATTTTTTAATTTGTAAATTAATTGTATTTGATTATAAAAAATATATATTTATTTATTTGAATTTCGTTTATTATTTTATTAGTCCATCATTAGCCAAGTTTTAATTTTTGTTTGAAGCTATTAACAAAATATTTAACAATTTAGAAAAATTCGTATAACATAATTAAGAAGGGGTTTGATTTGTTTATTTACAGTGTGTTATTCATTACTAGAATCTCTTCAAAGGGAATACAGTTGTAGACAAATTAAAATAACAATTCATTTTTGCATTGAGATTTGTTTGTCCAAGTTCACTAAAGAGTTAATTTTGGCTAAAATTTATTCTTAAGTTAAGACCTTATAAAGTTTCATCCATATAATTTAAAAATGCTAATAAGGTAGACTTAATCGCTACTGGATCATTATTTCAACAGACTTTTCTCTTCTCTTTAATTACTAAAATAATGTAACAATTATATTATTCTCAAACTGATCGCAGAATTTCTCTATCACGGCAGATTTTTGTGATATTTTAGATCTAGTTCTAGTTAATATCTAATTCCGTTTTAGTTGTTCTAGTTCAGTTCTAGTTCAGTTCTAGTTCAGTTCTAGTTCAGTTCTAGTTCAGTTCTAGTTCAGTTCTAGTTCAGTTTTAGTTCAGTTCTAGTTCAGTTCTAGTTCAGTTCTAGTTCAGTTCTAGTTCAGTTCTAGTTTAGTTCTAGTTCAGTTCTAATTCAGTTCTAGTTCATTTCTAGTTCAGTTCTAGTTCAGTTCTAGTTCAGTTCTAGTTCAGTTCTAGTTCAGTTCTAGTTCAGTTCTAGTTCAGTTCTAGTTCAGTTCTAGTACAGTTCTAGTTCAGTTCTAGTTCAGTTCTAGTTCAGTTCTAGTTCAGTTCTAGTTCAGTTCTAGTTCAGTTCTAGTTCAGTTCTAGTTCAGTTCTAGTTCAGTTCTAGTTCAGTTCTAGTTCAGTTCTAGTTCAGTTCTAGTTCAGTTCTAGTTCAGTTCTAGTTCAGTTCTAGTTCAGTTCTAGTTCAGTTCTAGTTCAGTTCTCGTTCAGTTCTAACTCAGTTCTAGTTCTAGTTCAGTTCTAGTTCAGTTCTAGTTCAGTTCTAGTTCAGTTCTAGTTCAGTTCTAGTTCAGTTCTAGTTCAGTTCTAGTTCAGTTCAGTTCTAGTTCAGTTCTAGTTCAGTTCTAGTTCAGTTCTAGTTCAGTTCTAGTTCAGTTCTAGTTCAGTTCTAGTTCAGTTCTAGTTCAGTTCTAGTTCAGTTCTAGTTCAGTTCTAGTTCAGTTCTAGTTCAGTTCTAGTTCATTCTAGTTCTGTTCTAGTTCAGTTCTAGTTTAGTTCTAGTTCAGTTCTAGTTCAGTTCTAGTTCAGTTCTAGTTCAGTTCTAGTTCAGTTCTAGTTCAGTTCTAGTTCAGTTCTAGTTCAGTTCTAGTTCAGTTCTAGTTCAGTTCTAGCTCAGTTCTAGTTCAGTTCTAGTTCAGTTCTAGTTCAGTTCTAGTTCAGTTCTAGTTCAGTTCTGGTTCAGTTCTAGTTCAGTTCTAGTTCAGTTCTAGTTCAGTTCTAGTTCAGTTCTAGTTCAGTTCTAGTTCAGTTCTAGTTCAGTTCTAGTTCAGTTCTAGTTCAGTTCTAGTTCAGTTCTAGTTCAGTTCTAGTTCAGTTCTAGTTCAGTTCTAGTTCAGTTCTAGTTCAGTTCTAGTTCAGTTCTAGTTCAGTTCTAGTTCAGTTCTAGTTCAGTTCTAGTTCAGTTCTAGTTCAGTTTTGGTTCAGTTCTAGTTCAGTTCTAGTTCAGTTCTAGTTCAGTTCTAGTTCAGTTCTAGTTCAGTTCTAGTTCAGTTCTGGTTCAGTTCTAGTTCAGTTCTAGTTCAGTTCTAGTTCAGTTCTAGTTCAGTTCTAGTTCAGTTCTAGTTCAGTTCTAGTTCAGTTCTAGTTCAGTTCTAGTTCAGTTCTAGTTCAGTTCTAGTTCAGTTCAGTTCTAGTTCAGTTCTAGTTCAGTTCTAGTTCAGTTCTAGTTCAGTTCTAGTTCAGTTCTAGTTCAGTTCTAGTTCAGTCTAGTTCAGTTCTAGTTCAGTTCTAGTTTCCTAGTTCAGTTCTAGTTCAGTTCTAGTTCAGTTCTAGTTCAGTTCTAGTTCAGTTCTAGTTCAGTTCTAGTTCAGTTCTAGTTCAGTTCAGTTCTAGTTAAGTTCTAGTTCAGTTCTAATTTAGTTCTAATTCATTTCTAGTTCAGTTCGGTTCTAGTTCGAACTATACTCATTAAAATAGATAAAAACAAACTATTTGCTGTAAATACATATGTAAATAATATTGTTTTTAAAAAGTCTATACTGTAAGTTTTACTTGAAGTGACTCTAATATGATTACAATTAACCATTGTAAGTTTCTTTTCTATTATTCTTATTTATTTTTGAAATTTCGTTTATTAAAATTGCTATTTTTGGTCCGATTATTGCAATAATTTTTATAATTTTTGAGATTTGATAAACAAAAAAACAAGGAAAATCGGACACTGTCAAGCCTACGTAAGTTAATTTCTTATCTTATTTTGATTTCTTAATTGAATTAAAGTATTTCTTTTTTAAATTGGCTTTAAACGACTCTAAGCCTTTTCATGACGTTCATTTTAATATAAATTATAACGAAACAAAAAGAAATATTTACCATAATCAAAGATTAATTAATGTTATATTGTTTTACGTCTTTCATAATATTGAGCCTTACTATTGTAAAACGTGTCTACATTTTCTCGCAGTGTTAAGTTTTAAGCTCCACTTCTAATACCCCACTCCTCCCCTTTTGAGTTAAAATTTTTGTTGTGTTTTGTTTTTCGTTTTAATTTTAGTCAGTTTTACTCAAAAAAGAAAAGATGGCGACCGAAGAATAATTCGACAACGTAGTAGGTAGCTGGCATTGAAAATAAAAACTTTAAAATCTCTCTTAAATAATACACTTAGAAAAAAATTACTTAAAAAATAACCATGTGTTTAAAGCCAAGTGTAAACGTTAAAAATTCATTTTTATGTGTGTTTGTTGTTTTGTTTTTTATTTATCGTTCGTACGTTTTCTTTTGTTAAGTTTAGTAGAAAAAAGAATTTGTTTTTTTACTTTAATTTTGTTTTACAATAGTTGGTTTGATATCATTTCTCAACTTCAATTTATTGTTTATTTTCCTGTGCAAAATTGTTCAGAATTGATCAGAAATATATATTAAATAAGAAAATCTACATTGTTTTCTATCCAATTATAATGGTTCGTATAACAAAAATAGTACATAGACCTTTTTCTACAGCCACAACATCGCCCAATCGGTTTAGAATGATCTTTAAGCCGATGACATTAATCCTGCTGCCAGTCTGATTTTTCTTCTTAAATTGTAATTAAAATTCTTTACGAAGATGTTGATTTTTAAATTCCTTTTGAATAACTAAAAATGGAATTAAAACCATTCCGATCACAATAAGTGGCCGTATGAGACACTTTTGATTATCATAATACGATTTCCACGTTTTTCCATACATTTCGAATTGATTTATGAGATATTTTCAGGAACGTATCTTTCCAATCTAGTTATGTTCTAGTTCAGTTCTAGTTTAATTCTAGTTCAGTTCTAGTTCAATTCTAGTTCAGTTCTAGTTCAGTTCTAGTTTAATTCTAGTTCAGTTCTAGTTCAATTCTAGTTCAGTTCTAGGTCAGTTCTAGTACAGTTCTAGTTCAGTTCTAGTTCAGTTCTAGTTCAGTTCTAGTTCAGTTCTAGTTCAGTTCTAGTTCAGTTCTAGTTCAGTTCTAGTTCAGTTCTAGTTCAGTTCTAGTTCAGTTCTAGTTCAGTTCTAGTTCAGTTCTATTTCAGTTCTAGTTCAGTTCTAGTTCAGTTCTAGTTCAGTTCTAGTTCAGTTCTAGTTCAGTTCTAGTTCAGTTCAAGTTCAGTTCTAGTTCAGTTCTAGTTCAGTTCTAGTTCAGTTCTAGTTCAGGTCTAGTTCAGTTCTAGTTCAGTTCTTATTCACTTCTAGTTCAGTTTTAGTTCAGCTCTAGTTCAGTTCTAGTTCAGTTCTAGTTCAGTTCTAGTTCAGTTCTAGTTCAGTTCTAGTTCAGTTCTAGTTCAGTTCTAGTTCAGTTCTAGTTCAGTTCTCAGTTCTAGTTCAGTTCTAGTTCAGTTCTAGTTCAGTTCTAGTTCAGTTCTAGTTCAGTTCTAGTTCAGTTCTAGTTCTAGTTCAGTTCTAGTTCAGTTCTAGTTCAGTTCTAGTTCAGTTCTAGTTCAATTCTAGTTCAATTCTAGTTCAGTTCTAGTTCAGTTCTAGTTCAGTTCTAGTTCAGTTCTAGTTCAGTTCTAGTTCAGTTCTAGTTCAGTTCTAGTTCAGTTCTAGTTCAGTTCTAGTTCAGTTCTAGTTCAGTTCTAGTTCAGTTTTCTAGTTCAGTTCTAGTTCAGTTCTAGTTCAGTTCTAGTTCAGTTCTAGTTCAGTTCTAGTTCAGTTCTAGTTCAGTTCTTCTAGTTCAGTTCTAGTTCAGTGTCTAGTTCAGTTCTAGTTCAGTTCTAGTTCAGTTCTAGTCAGTTCTAGTTCAGTTCTAGTTCAGTTCTAGTTCAGTTCTAGTTCAGTTCTAGTTCAGTTCTAGTTCAGTTCTAGTTCAGTTCTAGTTCAGTTCTAGTTCAGTTCTAGTTCAGTTCTAGTTCAGTCTAGTTCAGTTCTAGTTCAGTTCGAGGGTTCAGTTCTAGTCAGTTCTAGTTCAGTTTCTAGTTCAGTTAGTCTAGTTCAGTTCTAGTTCAGTTCTAGTGTCAGTTCTAGTTCAGTTCTAGTTCAGTCTAGTTCAGTTCTAGTTCAGTTCTAGTTCAGTTCTAGTTCAGTTCTAGTTCAGTTCTAGTTCAGTTCTAGTTTCAGTAATTCTAGTTCAGTTCTAGTTCAGTTCTAGTTCAGTTCTAGTTCAGTTCTAGTTCAGTTCTAGTTCAGTTCTAGTTCAGTTCTAGTTCAGTTCTAGTTCAGTTCTAGTTCAGTTCTAGTTCAGTTCTAGTTCAGTTCTAGTTCAGTTCTAGTTCAGTTCTAGTTCAGTTCTAGTTCAGTTCTAGTTCAGTTCTAGTTCAGTTCTAGTTCAGTCTAGTTCAGTTCTAGTTCAGTTCTAGTTCAGTTCTAGTTCAGTTCTAGTTCAGTTCTAGTTCAGTTCTAGTTCAGTTCTAGTTCAGTTCTAGTCAGTTCTAGTTCAGTTCTAGTTCAGTTCTAGTTCATTCTAGTTCAGTTCTAGTTCAGTTTCTAGTTCAGTTTCTAGTTCAGTTCTAGTTCAGTTCTAGTTCAGTTTCTAGTTCAGTTCTAGTTCAGTTCTAGTTCAGTTCTAGTTCAGTTCTAGTTCAGTTCTAGTTCAGTTCTAGTTCAGTTCTAGTTCAGTTCTAGTTCAGTTCTAGTTCAGTTCTAGTTCATTCTAGTTCAGTTCTAGTTCAGTTCTAGTTCAGTTCTAGTTCAGTTCTAGTTCAGTTCTAGTTCAGTTCTAGTTCAGTTCTAGTTCAGTTCTAGTTCAGTTCTAGTTCAGTTCTAGTTCAGTTTCTAGTTCAGTTCTAGTTCAGTTCTAGTTCAGTTCTAGTTCAGTTCTAGTTTCAGTTCTAGTTCAGTTCTAGTTCAGTTCTAGTTCAGTTCTAGTTCAGTTCTAGTTCAGTTCTAGTTCAGTTCTAGTTCAGTTCTAGTTCAGTTCTAGTTCAGTTCTAGTTCAGTTCTAGTTCAGTTCTAGTTCAGTTCTAGTTCAGTTCTAGTTCAGTTCTAGTTCAGTTCTAGTTCAGTTCTAGTTCAGTTCTAGTTCAGTTCTAGTTCAGTTCTAGTTCAGTTCTAGTTCAGTTCTAGTTCAGTTCTAGTTCAGTTCTAGTTCAGTTCTAGTTCAGTTCTAGTTCAGTTCTAGTTCAGTTCTAGTTCAGTTCTAGTTCAGTTCTAGTTCAGTTCTAGTTCAGTTCTAGTTCAGTTCTAGTTCAGTTCTAGTTCAGTTCTAGTTCAGTTCTAGTTCAGTTCTAGTTCAGTTCTAGTTCAGTTCTAGTTCAGTTCTAGTTCAGTTCTAGTTCAGTTCTAGTTCAGGTCTAGTTCAATTCTAGTTCAATTCTAGTTCAATTCTAAATTAGTTATATGTAGTTATAACTTCTCATCCGCTTGATTCAATGTAATATGTTGATCCTCTCTCAAATATTAAAACGTAAAGTATGAATGGGAAGATATTGTTCCCCGCAGCCAATTTAGTATCATTTAATGGATAGATAACACTGTGAGACATGACGTATGACAAAATTAAAAAATTCTTTTGTGATTGTTTTACGAACAAATTGAATTCATAATAAAAATAATAAATTGTTTTACAGGCATTATCAAAATAATGGTCTCTTGCATGTTTGTTTTTCATAGTTTTTTCATATAAAATAATATTAATATTATTAATATATTATTATAAATATTTACGTTAGGCCTGGTAGTATATTTCCGATTTTACTCGTTTTTACTCTAAATATAATAGACTACACCTTAAAAAATAACTAAATAAACTTTTGTTGGTAGAATTTCACATTTCAAAAACAAAATTAAAAAAAATTAATAATAATTAAAATAACAGCTAGTTTGTGTATTTATTATATTTCTAAATTGTAAACCATTATTAAAACTTTGTTAAAAATTTTCAAAAATCAAAATTAAAAATGTCTATACATTTTCATTGCGCTAAATTTGAGGAACTCAATTCTGCTAGAACCAAAGAAATCATTGAAACACATGAATATAGTATTTTTTTAAATTGGCAAAAAATATACTTTTAATTTTGATTTTATTAAAATAATTAAAAGAAAATTATGCATTTCTTTTTCTTACACAACCACCCACTCACGTCCACCCACTTTAGTTCATTTCAGTTCATAACAATTTTCTTCTTATTTTACAAAAATTAAATTTAAAAAAAAAAAATCAATTTAATACTACATTAAAAAAAAAACAATTTTATATTTAATTCAGAATTTAATTTTAACAAAAATATTTTACAGCTTGGCTTGGATAATGAAGAGGTATTAAAAGCCAGTTTCTACTTTTTTAAAAAAACAAAAAACTTTAATATTCCACTACATACACGATTTATTTTGTTTTTTTTTTTCTTTAAAATTTTCAATAATTTTTACTACTACTTTGCAAGAATATATAAATTTAAATAACTATAACTATAAACAAATTTAAAGTCAATACTTTTGTTTTCCTAACTGATTAAGTATCTATCAATCTATCTGTATGTAATTGAAAGGGCATTATTTAGGTGGTAGTTATAAACAATAATGTTTTTTTTGTTTTAAACAAATTCGATTTGAACTCAAAACTAATTCAAGCAATAATTTTGTTTCACTGAAAAGCAAAAAAAAAAAAAAAATAAATTAATTAAAAAAAATTAACAACTTGTAAGTATTAGACAATTTGGCCAGATCTTGTATTGCCTGTAAATACAACAACTACTTGTACTTCTAATATAAAACAAACAATTTTACCAATAACAACAACAATGCACTTTTACAAAAAACAAATTAAATCAAAATGAATTCTTCTATAAACTATTTAGCACTTTGTACTATGTATAAATATGTACTTAACTAATTAAATAATTAATTAATTTAATAATTCTTTTGATTATTTTGGTTTCATGAAATACACACAATGCTTTTAACTCTAAAAAATTAAGTTAAAACTACAGATATGGACAGAATATATATTTACATATATGAAAACAACAAAACTAATTATTTTCAATTCATTTTATTAATTTGATTTCTTTAAGTTTTTCTTTTAAATTTTGCATTTTTTAATTTTTTTTTTAATAATTTTTTCTTCTTACTTATTTTTGAATGGCTTGAAATTTAGGCAATTTTAAATAAATCTAGCTAAAGTTATTCTTTTTAAAACTTTCAACTCTTACTAATAAATAAAATTTTTTTCAGTCAATTATAAATCTAGATTAAAAAACTCTTTAGGGGGTTTGAAACCTTTTTTTATAAAACAAACATATGCATAAAGGTAACGTTATTTATTTAAACGATATTTTAGCGATAACAATATTTCGAATATCGGTTCGGTAATGAAAGTCGCGATCAAGGAGAAGTTTTGTAATTTGCAATTTTTTTTTTAAATTAATAGTTAATTAAGTTTTCAATCTTATAATTATTAATGAATATTTACTTTTTATTTGATTTTAAAAGAAAAGTAACAGAATATTTATCTTTTTAAACCGGAAGATTCCGGTGAGAATCTTATCATTAGATTTTTTATTTGCGCCGCAAAAGCACTATGAAATGGACTTCACTGCTCTAATATTACTTTGACAAATTTCATTAGATGAAAAATTTCATTAGTTGAAACACTACAGATGTATTGGGCCTAAGCTGTATTTGAAAATTCATTGCAGTTGAAGACCTTGTTTATAATTCTCTTATTCATTTTGTATTAGTTCAGTTCTCGTTCAGTTCTAGTTTAGTTCTAATTCAGTTCTAGTTCTAGTTCAGTTCTAGTTCAGTTCTAGTTCAGTTCTAGTTCAGTTCTAATTCAGTTCTAGTTCAGTTCTAGTTCAGTTCTAGTTCAGTTCTAGTTCAGTTCTAGTTCAGTTCCAGTTCAGTTCTAGTTCAGTTCTAGTTCAGTTCTAGTTCAGTTCTAATTCGATTCTAGTTCAGTTCTAGTTCAGTTCTAGTTTAGTTCTAGTTTAGTTCTAGTTTAGTTCTAGTTCAGTTCTAGTTCAGTTCTAGTTCAGTTCTAGTTCAGTTCTAGTTCAGTTCTAGTTCAATTCTAGTTCAGTTCTAGTTCAGTTCTAGTTCAATTCTAGTTCAGTTCTAGTTCAATTCTAGTTCAGTTCTAGTTCAGTTCTAGTTCAGTTCTAGTTCAGTTCTAGTTCAGTTCTAGTTCAGTTCTAGTTCAGTTCTAGTTCAGTTCTAGTTCAGTTCTAGTTCAGTTCTAGTTCAGTTCTAGTTCAGTTCTAGTTCAGTTCTAGTTCAGTTCTAGTTCAGTTCTAGTTCAGTTCTAGTTCAGTTCTAGTTCAGTTCTAGTTCAGTTCTAGTTCAGTTCTAGTTCAGTTCTAGTTCAGTTCTAGTTCAGTTCTAGTTCAGTTCTAGTTCAGTTCTAGTTCAGTTCTAGTTCAGTTCTAGTTCTAGTTCAGTTCTAGTTCAGTTCTAGTTCAGTTCTAGTTCAGTTCTAGTCCAGTTCTAGTTCAGTTCTAGTTCAGTTCTAGTTCAGTTAAGTTCTTTGATAATAAAATAACGAGTCCCAGTTGAGGACCTTCTTTATAATTCTCGGATTTTACTTGTAATTCTTTTACAGAATGAAAGCGTTGTATGTAGAGCATGCTAAATTTAAGCAACTTTGATCGGGCAAATATTATTAAAAAAAGTTCTTCAGAAAAAAATACTGTGTCAGTACCAGATTCAGTTTTTTGCGAAATTGCGAGAAAAATAAATAAATCTATTATATCCGATTTTAAGTTTAAATTTGGATGTCATAAAATCATATGAGGATTTATGGGATTGTGCATATTATTTAGAAGAAATGTGATCTGAGAGAGATGATTATGATTCCCTTATTTATTTCAAAAATTCCCGAATTTATTAATTGTTAAAATTTCGTTTATTATTTGTTCCCAAAATTAAAGTGTTTTCGATTTCTGTATTCAATTTCTTTTACACAAATCTTTGATAAATATGAACAAATTGTTTCCAAGCATGTGGGAATCGAACAATGAGGCGCACCTTGTAAATTGACTTATTAATTATGTAATTTATTTTTTAATTGTATTATTGCAGTTTTCAATTATTTCAAATACAAAATATGTATAATTAATTTAATGTATTTTTTTGTTTAATTTAATCATATCTGTAACTGTATCTTTATCTGTATCTGTAACAAAATTTAAAAAAAAAAAAATATACATACATACTTACCAAGTTATATGATTTTTTCTGGTTAGGTTTCTGTCACCAGCTATTTTTTCCCCAAAAATCTATTACTTTTACTGATTTAACAATTTTCAAAATTATATATGTATCTATGCATAACATAACTGGTACCAAGCAAATCTCTATATATATATTTCCGAAAAAGATTAAAAAAGAGAGTAAAATTAAGGAATTGGTTGGTTGGTTGTATGTTTAAATTGTACTGTAAGAAGACATCGGCGCTTTTTATGAATTCTTATACATTTTTCAGGTCTTGCTTGTCAAACAAACATTCACATTAATAAGGATGATAATATATTTATTCAAACATTGGCAAATTCGGTTCGTATATTTTGAAACTAACAAACCATATTTAGAACAGAACTATTTACAAAACCAAAAAAAAAAAAGATTGTTGCAAAAAATTACAAACTTAAATATAAAATTTAAAAAAAAGGAACGTTTCATTTTAACGACTTGTGTCTGTGTCATGAAAAGATTTAGTGTCGTTTTTTTTTTGGATTCCGAAACCTTGTTTTTGTGTATGTGTATTTAGTTGATTATATGTTTTTTTTTCGTTTTTTTGTCAAATATTTAAAATATCATTTTATTTTTGGTATAATTTATACTTTTTTCCAGTGTTTAGATGCTTTTTACAAATTTTCAGTTGTTTTTTAACACACTTTTTAGATAAAAAAATAATAATATGAAATATTTAGTAAACAATTATATAATGGAACAATTTGAGAACAACATTTATATTAAGCAAACACTAGGTAACAAAAAAAAACTAACAAAATAAAAAAGATTTTATATAGAAACTAGTATAAATTTAGAATGTTACAAATACATGAATGCTGAGATGAGCTTTTATTTTATACAATATATTAAATAAATACATACAAATATACTTACATATATATATTTATTATTTATAATTATTTTATTTAGTTTAGGTTTAAAAGAAAAACCCCCAAAAAACAAAATAAAAAAAAATACTTTTATACCTAAAGATTTTCTTATATTACGGAACTAATATGAAATATTTGATTTCATTTCCCAGACTACAACACTGATTGGTCTATTGAAAACAGCACGTTTGTTGCGTTTGGTAAGAGTTGCGCGTAAAATCGATCGTTATTCGGAATATGGAGCAGCAGTTTTGGTATTACTGATGGCTACTTTTGTCCTAATTGCCCATTGGTTGGCTTGTCTATGGTAATGTGATTTTATTCTAATATTTTTTATGCTAATGTGTTGTCCAATTAATTGGATTGCCTTTTAAAGGGATCAATTGTGGCTTTTAAACTCTGTAAAGTAATATTAAGTAAAAGTTTTGCTATAAAATTTTATTTTAGTTATAATATTAATTGTATAAATAATAACCATATGCTTGTCACAAACATATATTATGTACATAGGTAGTTATATCATTGGCCTCTACCGCATATGTATTTCAAAACCCAAAATACTTGAAATTTAAAAGAAAACTACATATATAAAAGCTAGTAAATGTATAAAATTTTATAGCAAAATTTTTGAAATTTCTAAAACAGAGTTTGAATGTTAACTTTCCAATTTTTATGCAATACTTTAACTTGTTGCTGTAATTTTTTTTATTGTTAATATTTTTCTTACAGTGTATAATTTATTATTCGTAATTTTAACATTGTCTTAGAGAATTTTTCTTGCATCAAATTTATACGTATTAATGTAATAGCGCTTGTTAATTTTCATCCATGTATAATTGTTATAATTTTATAAAAACAAAATCAAGATATCTAGAAAAGTGGTTCTCAACAACGATATATATATATATGTTTGTATATATTGCACAAGTAATCTGCAGTGTAAAACCTGCAATAAGCCATACTTTTGCGACAGTTTGTTTAACCATCAAAATTATAGAAAATGTGAATCCTTTTCGTTTCTTTATTGTAACATTAATTAGCAACTCTAGCTCTATTTATTTCCGCAACATAACCCCACTTTCTTAAGACAAGTTCGAAAATGCCAAAATATTTCATGTTGCTGATGATTGTCGTCCCACTACTAAAGAGGAAAGTTTTGGGCTTTATTAACCCACTCGGGTTGGGTTCAGAGGTACTCAAAGTATGGCATCTTTTTCACTTAAATATTTTTTATGGCGCAGTGTTATAAAGCCATAGGTAATAAAGCCATATGACCTTATTTCTCAATGAAATGAGAAATATAACCATATGGCTTTATTGCCTACACCCAAGTGCAATATCACCATAAACTAAAAGTAACCAAAGTGGAAATAACGCCATAACAGTGAAATAGTTACGGTTACAAATTGCCAAAAGAATCAGTTGCCAATAATTCCTCAAAATTCAAAAATGAAATAAATCCCTAAAAATATTTTTGGGAAGTTATTTCATTATATTACTTTTATATCACGAAATAAAAAAAATATATGTTTGATAGCCGGCCTTCGGCCGGGCGCCAGGGTTTTCTCCTCTGAGATATATTGGACACCGGCTTCGCTAAAAATACACTTTCCGTGTAACAAGAGCGTTCGACCGTAGGCCGGCTATTTAGGAAATCTTTACTAAGCGAAGCCGGTGTTGGACATACCATAGAGAAGAAAGTCCTTGCGCCCGGCCGTAGGCCGGCTATTTAGGAAATCTTTACTAAGCGAAGCCGGTGTTGGACATATTATAGAGTTGTAAATCCTTGCGTCCGGCCGTAGGCCGGCTATTTAGGAAATATTTATTAAGCGAAGCCGTTGTTGAAATGAAAAAAATTAAATGAGCAATAACACCATAATGGTTTTATTTCATTCCTTACATGGAAATAAAGTCATATGGCCTTATTTCTCAATGAAATGAGAAATATAACCATATGGCTTTATTACCTATGGCTTTATAACACGGCGCCATTTTTTATATAGTTAACAAATGTCTTAAGCCGCCTTTACACGATCACACAAATAATATGATCTGTCAAAATTTTGTGTAAAACAGTACGCATGGGATAGTCTAAACGCAATATGTAATGAAACCATCATACATTGAGAGAAAATATGTAGGGAAAATTTCACAGTTGTATGGCTCTTTTCATTTATTTAAAATGATAAAAAAACTAGCAAGTCGCATTAGATCAGGGATGTATTTTTATGTAAATACATAAAAAATGAAACATCTGTTTTCATCTTACTTTGTTATTGTTTTATAAAAATCTTCTAAACACAAAATAAATAAATCATACGACTTTTAAATATCATTTTACTTGTTCATTAGACTTTACGTACGTAAAGTGTGATCGTGTAAAGGGCCCTTTAGATAGCCTAGGAAATACACCTATGCCACTATCGGGAAAGTTATGTTCATGGAAAATGTTTGGTTAAAACAAACAAATCGTCCGATGTTCTGTAATTTAGTTTCCTGGACGTAATTCCTAAGAATTTTCCAATCATTGTTAATGGGATCTAATTTCGACAGATAGCCAGACAAAGAAAGTACTCCATGTCCGTTGAAATACACCTATACCACTATCGGGAAAGTTATGTTCATGGAAAATGTTTGGTCAAAACAAACAAATCGTCCGATGTTCTGTAATTTAGTTTCCTGGACGTAATTCCTAAGAATTTTCCAATCATTGTTCGTGAGGAATGTTATATCCGGAATAATATCACTTCCAAGTTAATGGGATCTAATTTCGACGATCACCAGACAAAGAAAGTACTCCATGTCCTGTTTGAATCCGCAGGCCCAATTTTATATAGTGGTTCCGGTAATCCTAAAATCGTAAAATACGTACCATCTCCTTAGGGTCACACCATATGATCTTTATGGTTCTATCCAACGTCTTATTATTACAAGAGGACTTATGGGATTCTTTTTAAAGTAAGTTAATTCACTCTTTCATTGCCGACTACACCCGAGTGGCCTGTTATCTATATGATGCAAATCTTACTTATGTGAGAATGTTTGGTTAAAGCTTTCTTAAATCCAATATGGTCTTAGATTTAACCTTTTCACCTGATATCGCCCTAATTACCATCAATTTGCACATTCTGGCCTTCTGCCTGTAAGTTGATGTCGTAATTAGGCAGATGGTAGTATATGTATTTCTTTTTCATCGATTTCTATATAGAACTTAGGCCCAGTTAAGAGCCATCCGTATAGCAACGAATTCCTACGGGTTTTTGCTCTAATGTTCCGCTTAACAATGATATTCTATATGGGATCAGTGTTTCAAAATCCCAACATATTCTGTGTCTGGCAGCTTTCGGGCACGTCCGATATTTGTTGTGTTAAGCCTTTCAATTTGTCCAGTATAGGACATGTCCTATAACTGCCTATAAGTGCCATAATCATTTAGTCTTTTATCCAGGATGCCCTGGCATGGGGAACTTAACCCCGACAACACTTCCTTTCCAGACATTCGAAATTTTATTGAAATTGACCTTTATTTTCAACATTCGTCCCACTATGCGTCATTAAAAGTGACCTAATAAAGATCTCTGCATCTGATGTAAATTATATATCGTTTTTAATTCCTTAGGAAGTCCTTCTTTTGGTTGGGTACTATTAGAGGTTCTAGAACTCTTAATTAAAAGTTTTATTTTTCACATTATATTATTGTTATATGAGAACCACTGATCTAGAATATATATATATATTTAAATGTTTATAAATGTATAAATTAAATTTAAGAGAAAATTGGTCTTACTTTTTATCTATAAAGTGACATCTTTTAAAAGATGTTCGATAACTTTATATGTAAAAAGCGGATTAAGCAAGAACATTGTTTGATAAGTCGTCTATTTTATGGTGAATGATCTCTGTTGAATCAATTAATTATAAAAAATATTTCAAAATTTACTAAACTATAACAAAGTTTTGAAATTGATTTATGCATTTAAAAAAAATAGCATGTTTAAGAACTCATCAAACAATATGTTTTGCTGCAAGATCAAAATATGATCGCCCTAAGCAAAAACCTAATCTAAAACAGTAATTACTAACTAAATTAATTGCTTTTGCTGGAAAATATGCATATACTAGATATAACTGTAATTAACAATTAATATGTTTTCACTTTGGAACACATATATGGTGGGAATTTTCAATATTTTTATACTGAAATCATAATATTAGATTTTTTATAATTTAGTTTTTAAAAAATCTAAATATGATTGCATATGGACAAGCAGTTTTCGTTTTCTTTGTAAACAATACTATATACAAATATTTGGAGCCGCTGAACATCATTTTAAATTCAAAATTGTTTGCCTACTACTACTACTACGTTAAAGATAAAAACTTGGACCAGCTTAAAAACCCGCCCCCAAAAAGACAAAAAATTCATATGTTATTTAAACTTATGTTATTGAATGTTTGTGCTATATATACATATATTTTTTTTGTTTGGAATGCTCTGTGAATGAAAACGCTGTTAAAAAATTGCTTTAATGTTAAGAAAAAAAAAAAATGAAAGCTATAATCAAGCGTTTTAATTTTGGTTTATTTTGAAAATTTATTTATTCAAATTTACAACAACTACTAGAGCAGTTAATGTTGTTAAACCTATGTTCCTAATTAGTGTCTAATAAACGTTTTCTATCCGCTGGACGGAATAATAAAGTCCATTCGTAGCTAATGCTGTTGGACGTTGTTGTAATAATTCCTTTTTTTAGGTATGCTCTTGGTAATGCTGAACGTATAATGTTATCAAAAAATATAGGCTGGTTACATACTTTGGGAAATGATATTGACGAACCCTATTTTGAAAATAAAACCGGTGGTCCTTCTATCAAGGTAAACAAAATAAAAATCAAGAAAATCGAATTTCAATTAAAAATTGGGGTGTGGTGGTGGATGTCGTGTTGAACCGTCAGTTAACGCAAAACATTTTTACATTTTACAGTCCCGGTATATAACCGCGCTATATTTTACATTTACATCCTTAACCTCGGTGGGATTCGGTAATGTGGCTCCAAATACAGATGCAGAGAAAATTTTTACAATATGTGTTATGTTGGTGGGATGTAAGTTAACTTTTTGTATTAACTTTTTTTGTAACCGTATACGAATCCATCCATGTATATATTAGCATTTATTGAATATACTAATTTTCAGCCTTAATGTATGCTAGTATTTTCGGTAATGTTTCGGCCATTATACAACGATTGTATTCGGGTACAGCCCGCTATCATACACAAATGTTAAGAGTGCGAGAGTTTATAAGATTTCATCAGGTATTACAAAATTAACAGTCAAATCCTGTCTATAACGTTCGAATGCCCCTAAAACATTCAAAAAAAACGTTATAGTCATGTTTCACTGTAAATCTGTTGATATCCTATAATAGTGATGGCCATGTGACCTGATTAATTAAATCGCAATCTAACGGGTTTTTAAGTTATATTTTTGGATTCCTTTTTTTGGAACTTGCAATGTTGAAACTAAGTAAAAAACTTTAGGTCACATATCCAGCACTATTGTACATTTTCGTTAGCTTCTTATGTTGGTGTTGATAAAGAACGAAAATACTTTCTCTAGATACCCAATCCTTTAAGGCAGCGTCTAGAAGAATATTTCCAACATGCCTGGACCTATACCAATGGCATTGATATGAATTCCGTTTTAAAGGGCTTCCCGGAATGTCTACAGGCTGATATTTGTTTACATTTGAATCGTAAATTGTTACAAAATTGTCCTGCATTTTCCGGTGCTAGTCCTGGTTGTTTAAGGTATTTACACATACTCATGCTACAAAAAAAAACTCATTGATCATTTGCAAAATTTATAGAAACTTCTTTACACTAATTTGTTTTTTGTTTTATTTCTGGAACTCTAGAGCGTTATCACTAAAATTTAAAACCACTCATGCGCCGCCTGGTGATGTTTTGGTGCATAAGGGTGATGTTTTGACCTCTTTGTTCTTTATAGCCAGAGGATCAATAGAAATTCAAAAGGAAAATACAACTATAGTTATATTGGGTAAGTAACACATTCTGTAGTAAAACTGATCGTGGTTTACTTTTTTGGAGACAATATTTAATAATTAGCACAATTACTTTTTATTACGTACGTTTGACGTTATTTTTACGAAATAAGATACAAATAATTTCAGTAATGCTAATTAAGCAACTTCTGAATTACTCGTTCCACTAAATAAACATGTTCTACAAATATTGATGGACGTGATTGAAGTTAATTTTAGGTTGGGCTTAAAAAAATGTTTATAGACTAGACTATAGATTAGACTATAGACTACACTACAGACTGGACTATAGACTAGACTATAGACTAGATTATAGACTAGATTATAGACTAGACTTTAGACTAGAATATAGACTAGACTATAGACTAGACTATAGACTAGACTATTGACTAGACTATAGACTAGACTATAGACTAGACTATAGACTAGACTATAGACTAGACTATAGACTAGACTATAGACTAGACTATAGGCTAGACTATAGACTAGACTATAGACTAGACTATAGACTAGAATATAGACTAGACTATAGACTAGACTATAGACTAGACTATAGATTAGACTATAGACTAGAATATAGACTAGACTATAGACTAGACTATAGACTAGACTATAGATTAGACTATAGACTAGACTATAGACTAGACTATAGACTAGACTATAGACTAGACTATAGACTAGACTATAGACTAGACTATAGACTAAACTATAGACTAGACTATAGACTAGACTATAGACTAGACTATAGATTAGACTATGGACTAGACAATGGACTAGACTATAGGCTATAGACTAGACTATAGGCTAGACTATAGACTAGACTATAGACTAGACTATAGACTAGACTATAGACTAGACTATAGACTAGACTATAGACTAGACTTTAGACTAGACTATAGACTAGACTATAGACTAGACTATAGAATAAACTATAGACTAGACTGTAGACTAGACTGTAGACTAGACTAAAGACTAGACTATAGACTAGACTATAGATTAGACTATAGATTAGACTATAGATTAGACTATAGATTAGACTATAGATTAGACTATAGATTAGACTATAGATTAGACTATAGACAGGACTATGGATTAGCCTAGACTATAGATAAGACTATGGACTAGACTATAGATTAGATTATAGACTAAACTGTAAGAAAAACCAAACCAAGCAAGAACAAAGTCAAATTTTTCAAAATTGAATTTCTGAAAGCGGACCTGCATATTCATACATGTGTGTATGGACTTAGAAATTTACGGACTAATACTTTCGGTATTTATTGTCACAATATTAAAAAAATTTATTTGTTATTACAGGTAAAGATGATATATTTGGTGAAAATCCATGTATCTATCCCAACATTGGTAAATCAAATGCAAATGTACGTGCCTTGACCTATTGTGATTTGCATAAAATACATCGAGATGATCTCTTAGATGTACTGCATTTGTATCCCGAATTTTTCGATAGTTTTGTGAATAATCTAGAAATCACTTATGTGATGAGAGATGTAAGTTTTTGTTATAGAAATTTAAAAAAAAAACAAATTAATTAATATTGCTATCTTTTTTATAATCTACAGGAATTCACATCTGGCGTTGATGTGAAACATAAATATTTACGAGTTAAATCGATGGATAAAGAACGCAGTACCAGTGATATGAATTCAATAAGAATGTAAGTTTTTGTTGTTGATGTTGTTGTGAAAATGAAATACGTCTTATAATTAATAAAAATTGTTTCGTTCATGTCTTTTAGTGTGGGTCTTCAATTTAAGACTAACAATAAATCATTCGTGCGTGATGGTGCTCAGAAAGACACGCCCGATGTTAATTTTTATGTGGGCAAAGATAGTAACAATTACAAATATGGAGCAAATAAAAGTGGTAAGTATCCCCTGGAATATTTCTCTACAAAATGTTTTAATTATTTTCTTGCTTTGTTTTTTTTAGATTACTTTTAATATTTAAGTGATTAAAGTATTTATTATTAGAAATAAGTGAATTAAGTGAAAAAAGCAAATTGAATAAATTTTAAATTTAATGGCTCAATTAGAATGAAAGCATATTATCCAAAAGTAAATGGAACAAAAGCAAAAGGTTATTAAATAAAAAAATTAACATTTTATTACAACAAATTTTAATATAAAGCGACAATAGTTAGACAAACATAATATAAAAAAAAATACTTTTTTAAAGCGTTCATGTTTTTAAAATTCAATAAAATCAAAAGAATAAATTAAATAAAATAAAAATTTTTACAAATTATTTAATTGAAATTGAACTCAGTCTTAAATTTCCAATTTTAAATTTTAGGTTTATTAAAGTTTAATATCTAAATACTCATACTACTACCACTACTACTACTAATACTATTGTGCAATAAATCTTAATATAAATATTTTTATTAATAATCAAAATTCAAATACACATGATGGTTTTTAATTTCAAAGTCAATTTAAATGTAATAAAATATATTAAAATGGTAAGTTAATTTAAAACCTTGTATTAAATGCTAGTTTTTACTTTACACTAAAAACATAAAGAAATACCTATGTAAATAATAATTTTACTTTTGTATTTGACTTTAATCAATTTAGTTTTTGTGTACTTTGAGTATGAAATGAATACTTGTTGATTTTGCCAGTACATGCAATCGATATTAGGAATATGTACATTTGTATGTATGTATGTAGTTCGTTATTTATTCTATACACTGGAAAAAAATTGAGTAATAAAGTTGCAATGAAACATTACTTTTGTTTTAAAATGTAATACATACACGATATGAAAGATTTTCCAACGTATATGTATATATTCCAATAGGAATTTTCAAAGATTTTAATCAGAATTTCGGCCATAGAATAGACTAGTCATAGACTAATACATATGTAAGTAGACTAGTCCATAGATAAGTATGTATGTAGATTGAGAAGTCTAGATCGACTTGACTAAAGAATAGTCCATAGACTAGTCCCTAGACTAATCCATAAACAAGTCAATAGAATAGTCAATAAACTACTCCATAGACTAGACAATATGATAGTCCAATAGTCAATAGACTAGTCTATATAGAATAGTCAATAGACTAGATTAGACTTGACTAAAGACTAGTCAAAAGAATAGTCCATAGGCTAGTGTGTAATCCATAGACAAGTAAATAGACTCATCCATAGAATAGTCACATAAGTAGACTAGTCCATAGATAAGTATGTATGTAGATTGAGAAGTCTAGCTCAACTTAACTAAAGAATAGTCAAAAGAATAGTCCATAGATTAGACCCTAGACTAATACAGATACAAGTCAATACAATAGTCATTATACTAGTCAATAGACTAGTCAATATAATAGACCATTGACTAGTGCGTAGACTAATACATAGACAAGTCAATAGACACATCCATAGAATAGTCAATTGACTAGTCAATGGACTAGTATATAGACTTGTCCATAGACTAGTTATAGACCAATCTATAGACTAATCCGTATACTAGTCAAAAGAATAGTCCGTAGTGCGTAGACTAATCCAAAGACAAATCAATAGGCCATAGATCAGTCCGTAAAATAGTGAATAGACTAGTCCATAGACTAGTTAATATACTCGTCCATAGACTAGCCAATATAATCGTCCATAGACTTGTTCACTTGTCCACAGACTTGACTATAGACTATAGTCAAAAGAATGGTGTGTAGACTTATCCATAGACAAGTCAATAGACTAGTCCATAGAATAGTCAATAGACTAGTCCATAGAATAGTCAATAGACTAATCCATAGAATAGTCAATAGAATAGTCGTAGAATAGACTATAGACTAGACAATAGAATAGTCCATAGAAGAGTCCGTAGACTAGTCAATAGAAGAGTCCGTAGACTAGTCAATAGACTAGTCCTAGTCTAGTCTATGGACTAATCAATAGATTAGTCCATAGACCAGACCGTAGACTAGTACGTACACACGTCCATAGACTAGTCCGTAGACTCATTCATAGACTAGTCCGTAGTCTAGCCAATAGACTAGTCCTACTATTGTCTCTATAGACCATAGATTATCTAATGTTGTCCATTACAGGTCTATTGAATAGTCAATAGAAATACAAGTAAATAGAATAGTTCAACTAATAGACTAGTCATGTGACTAGTCCATAGACGAGTCAATAGTCAATCCAGTTATGCATTAGTCGATAGACTAGTCCTTGAGGTATTTATATAATGAACATTGTAGTGGAATCTTAATAAAATATTTTTTTAGTGTAATAAATTTTATCTAAATGTATGTAATATCGTTTCAAAGTAAACAAACAGACAGACTAATAATAAAAAAAAAACGACTAACCTTGTAAGGTCTTGGTAATTTCAAAAGTAACGATTATTATAGTAGAACAAAAAACATAGAACAAAAATAATAATAATAACTATTACATAAACAATTGATTGTAATTACATTCGTACATATTGACACACTAGCTAGATAAATACAAAGCGAGCTTCATTCAACATTTATTCATGCTTGTTTTTCCTTTAGTCATTCATTCATTCATTCATGCAATCATTCGCTTACTCAATTCCTCAGTCAGTAATTCGTTCAATCAAGTTATTCCTTCACGGTAATAATTTACATATGTACATCTAGTAGATATGTATGTATATACTTAAATAATTTGTATAAATATACAAAGAATGAGAGAAAAAATACACCTTGAATTTGAAACATTTTGATAAACTACATTTGTATATGCATACTTATTTACATACATACATACATACATTCATCCATACTTATGTATATTTATTTGCATGAGTACATATCCAGATGTAGTAGGAATTGTATCTACTGAATTTTTGCTGGGATTTTAGTTTTTACCCATATGTTATTATCATTTTGTATCTTCTCCCGAAATTTAGCTTGAGTAACAAAAAATATATGTACGCACCAAGAGAAAAATTCACTGGCGAAATAAACCCCTATTTGTTGTTTTTAACAAAAACAAATTTATTCGGCATTTTATTGTGGTGGCTGTTGTTGTTTAGAAGTTTGTTTTTTTTGTGCTTCTCTAAGGGTGGGGTTCTCAACTGGTTCTAATAACAGCACTGTTAGATAGAAACATATTCACTTTGGTAGTAAATAACACTAGACTACAAGGAATTTTTTTAAAGGTGGAAGTACACAACACGCGTTGTAGGCTTCTGTCAAAAAAAAGTTGAAGTAGTGTAAGTTCAGTAATTTTCAACTTTTGACGCGTTGTGTGTAACTTGCAGCTTAAAGCGCGTAAAGTTTGAAACGCGTTGCCGCCTCAACGCGTGTTGTGTACTTCCACCTTAAGACGTTAGTGCTTAAACATTTTAATGTTATTAATAGTGTAAGGAATTTTTGCCAGGGTTTAGAGTTCTCCCTAAGGGAAGAAACTGAACGTAAGTTTTGAAAATTTCATAAAAATGTTGTCTTCATTATAAACAATCTCGTTTTCGGCTATATTTGAGACGTTATAATCACCCCTATTGTGCATTTCAATTCGAATCGTAATATTCTGCGTTTAGCAACTTTGGTATTCTGCATTTCGATTCCAAGCTTTAGATTAAGATATGTCCAAGAATGAAGAAAACTTAACAGAGGTTAAAGCTTTATTTTAAAGTCGGCAGATTCTAACTCGTATTTTTAGGCCAGATTAGGATTTGTTGTCCTGTGTAATTGTTCCGAGGCCCTTTAGACTGTCTACTACAGAACAACACTCGAACTCATTAGTATCGGTAATATTATAGAGCTCGATGTAAATAAATTTCATATCAACACTTATCCTGTAAATTCTGTGAGCAACGGACCGATCTAGAACTTACCAGTGTAGGGGGTATTATGCTACTATAACCTAGTTATTGTTTTTATATTATGATTAAGCATATCCATCTTATGAATGAAAATTACTAGAACACTTTTATGTCGAAACTGTCTAGAACAATTGAGAACTGCTGTTTTATTAGCTAGTGGATGTGGATAATGGATACATTGGGACTCGCGAGCGCTCTCTCTCTTTGTCTAGACAACTGCTTACTTGGTTGCTACTCGACACCACTACCATGTGCAGAATTCAGAAATTCCAAAATCACAAAAAACACACATTGAAGAAAATACACAAAATAAACAAAAACACACGAAGAAGGAAGGAATGAAACAGTATTCTAGAGCAACCGCCACCGTATGTCATTATTGTTGTCGTAACGTCGTTGTCGCCGTCATTGTCGGGTAGTTTATGCGTGTATGTATGAATGTACTTTAGATAAAGAGAGAACGAATAAAACGGCGAATGAATGGCCCAAGTGTGTAAGAGTTTTTTGTAGAAGAACGTTTGTTTGTTAGTTTGTTTGTAAAACATTATTATTAATAATAATAATTATTATTATTTTGTTGTATTCGCGCCGTATATTTTCTTTGGCAGTCAATCGCATTGTTTTTAACGAGAATAATTTAAAGTTGTGTTGTATCAACAATTTTATTAATTTTAATGAATGAACTCTGTGTGCAACAATTTAATTGAAGATACAATTAACTACAACAAACAATCATTCATTCATTCAAACATTCAAACTCACTCGTTTAAAGTGAAGAGCACTTCAAATAAAGAAGCAGCAAGAAAATACACCAACAACAAATTATCAAAGAAATTTTTATTAAATTGTTGCCTCATTTCAATTTAATTTTAATTTAAAAGCAAAAAATCATAATTAATGAATAAATTTCACAATAATTTCTTTAAAATGGAAAAAAATTAACCAAATATTTATTGGATAATAAAATACAATTGATAAATTTAACAAAGTGTTCCCCCCCCCCCAAAAAAAAAAAAAGAAAATAAGAAAAGAATATACATATTTTGATTGTTTTCACCAAAATTCAAATACACCCAAATAAAAAAAAAGAAGAATCTTGACGAAATTGTGCGATTATTTGCCGGTTATTTGAGAACGCTAGAAAAAAATTCCAAAAAAATTGTTAAATAAATTCAAGTATTTTGTATGTGTGTGTGCTTAAACATTTTAAATTGTTAATTAATTTAATTTATTAATAGAAAGTATAACAATTTATGGAAAAAAATGAATTAATTGATTTATTTCATTTGTGTCAAAGTGATAACTAGACAAATTAAAGAGATATGGGTTAAATTTTGTATAAAAATAAACTATAAAAAAACAGTGTAAAAAAACTTGATAATAATCTAATTAATTTAAACGTAAACACAAGGATCTAAATTATTCACCAAGTTTATAATTCAAATAGTTTTACCATACGTTTTGTTGTTAAACGTTAGCAGAGACAAACTGCAAAATTTCAGGTAAACATCTAGTAAAACATATGTAAATGTAAATTTTACCATACACACAAACATATATACACACATACAAGTACAATGTACATATGGATGTACATATCGTCG